ATATGAAGCCTTTATTTTTTATGCAGTGGTGTAGGATTTCTTACCACACCAGTTTGCAAGTACCTTCTTGTTTCCTTACTTTTTTCCCCATTCAATCCTACTATTTTCCCATTTTTAATGTTTTTTATTTACTTGTTACTACTACTATTACTATTACTATTACTATTACTATTATTATTATTATTGTTATTATTATTATTAGTATTAGTATTATTATTATTATTATTAAGTAACTATGAAACTCCTTTTTGTTGACATAAACTGTGAAAATCAAACAGATGTCACCTTTGTCACTGACTGCACTAAACTGGCCAGCCTATTTATGTCTTATGGCTATTTTAACTCAAGACAGTGTAGCAAGGCTTAAAGTAAAAAACAAGTCAGGAGTTTTCTAGCAGCAACATAAGGTTGAGATTCTCCTTTTTTCCAGCTAATAATCTACGAGGCTGAGCCCTTGAATGTTCTACATTGTTTCTAGTTATCATTATTAATATTCATTATTATTTTCATGCATGTGCATAACACACTTGTTCCTTTGCTTTTTCTTTTCCCTCCTCCATGTCATGTTTGGCTACCCTCTTTATAACATTATTATCATTGTCCATTTTATAGCTATGTTATTTGATGACAACAATTTGACAACCTAACTTCCTGTTAACTTATTTCATCTGGGCTTACTTACCGCAACATTTGGTGACCAGTTCTTCACAAAACCTTCTAGAGACGTCTTGCCATTGTCGCCTGTCAGTCATATCTCGCAGTGGCTCCCTTAATGTTTCTCAACCTTCAGCACCATCTACAGCTTCATCTGGCATTTGGGTCGTTCACCAATCCTAAACTTTAATTTCCCCAGGTGGACGCGCAGTTTGCTACAAAAAGTTTTACAGTACAGAAGACAAAGTGTGACCATGTTATTGCCTCCCTGTCTCACTTGGGGTAATCATAGTACAATTTTCAGGTTAAGTAATATGTAAATTATTAAATTAAAAATTTTCACAACACTTGGTTCAAACCTTGTCACTGTTACCCCAAATAGTGGCAGCACTATATATACTATATATATAGGTCAGATGACACTATGTTGGCCATCTCTAGCACTAATAGTTTAGCTACTGAGTCATCAAATGTATCTACTACAAGTAAAATTATAGGGTCTACTTGTACTGATGGTGTTGCAACTGTAGTTAGTTCAAATTCTAACAATGATGTTGATCCTGATACACTTGATGATGCCACAATTCGAGAAAGAGATGAGCATATAAGACAAACAACAGGTGGGGCTGCAGTGGCAAGCATATTATTGCCGCTAAATCCTGAGGTAGAAGCCCAAATTTATTTCGTGAAGGACAGCACCCTCTTGATATTATGACAGCGGCAAAAGCTAAGT